TCTGTGGCGAGACAACACGTACTCTAAGATCCACAACGCTGTTCGTTGGAAGCTAAAATTAAAATTCACTCAAAAATCACCTAATTTTTCTTACTATAGACAATTTTTTCAGCTTATCTTAGACAATTTGAGTCAAATAGTCTAAGAAAAAAAAGGAGAGACTTAGATTTATTTCGAAACATTCCCAATTTCTGTTGAACCCAAAATCGCTTATAAATTATGGTCATGATTTAAGCTAGACTACACTCAGAACTTCTGGTTTGAGCCTACAGGTAACAAATCAGGTACCATGACCTATGAAAAATATTGTAGTGAATTTGTACCTGATCGATTTGTGCAGTATAAACCCGACGTCCAGGATGTGCTGGGACATGGCGATTATACTGCTGCCAAGCCCCACCACTAATCCTGTATTCGACCAAAAAGCCGCCAACTTCTCCGGGCGGTGCATTCCACTCCAACGTTACCGACGTTGCCTGCTCTTCAATAACCCGCGGTGCTACACTCATACCAGTTAGCGGCGCAGAATCAGTGCGCATTTCGGTGCCCGTACCAGGATGGTACTGAGTACCATCAGTCGTAGCGTCGACCGTGATGTTGTAGCGAGTATTGGGTGATAGATTATCGATGTTGTACTGTAGCGTAGACCGATCCACCGAGAAAGTTTGTGGCCGTGCGCCATACTGGCCAACTGGTGTAACATGAATTCGATAGCCGACGACACGTGCTGCATCTGTAGGACGCACATTCCAGGCAATCAAAAGACTGTTTGCCGTCCCTCCGAGTTTGGTCAGCGAAACCACTCGAACTGGACTGTCGCTAATGTGACCAACTTGTGGCTCACTCCACGGTGACCAGGCACCACTTGGACCACCCGCTGATACCTGCAAACATTAAAGTCATTTTTCAATAAGTGATCTAATTTTATAGGGTTTTAGATATCTGAAGCACAATCACCTTATCTTGTAGTTAAAAATTCACAGATTAGACTAAAACTGATTTTCTGAGGGAACTTTATCCTGAAAATGCTAAGCCAATTTATTTAAA